TAATTATAATTAGAATAATAGATCTTCATGTGAGAATGTATTTGTAGGTTTTGGTAGTTAACAGGTGTGCAGCTGTGGCAGAAATCACAGCTGAAAGGAGAACAGTAAAAGCAAGGGAAGATGCCTCTTATTCCACTTGTACATTTCTGCACTGTCTTTCATGTTTCTTTAATCCCTCTTTCGTAAAGCTTGGTCTTCAAGGTTTTTGTTGTGTCTGTGCCATACAGAGGAGAACAGAACTTGTGTTCCACCATTCAGCTTTGAGCACTGAAGTTGGTGTGTTTTGTGCACATACCTTAACTCTTCAAGAGTAATTCAGAAGCCCCCTTTCATCTTAGAAAGAATGCTTAAATTTAATAATAGTAACTTGGAGCATCATACTCTTGGAATCCTCTCAATACTCTAAAAAGCAACATTGTCCTAAATGCTGGCTGGGATGGGAGGAGGTTACTGTGTTTAGCAAATTTGATGAAAGTTCCCAGGAATTTCATCCCAGGAACTTTGACACACTAGGATGAAACAGCTCCTACCTAAATCTTCTTTTGCTATTGGAGGCCATTTACTCCTATGTGCTTTTTCTCCATTATAATGAAATGGGTAGCTTAATCCTCTGTCCATCTCCCTATCCATATAAAACTGTTGTGGTTTTGTGGTTCTTGGTTTTTTGGGGGGTTGGTTTGTGGTATGTGTTTGTTTGGTGCGGTTTTTTTTCTTTTTTTTTTTTTTTTTTTTTTTTTTTTTTTTTTTTTGTGAGGATGGAGAAGTTTATCCAGACCACTTACTATGGCTAGCATTGGCAGTTAATGTAGTAGCCTGCCTTCTTAACGTTTGCGTAGGTGCGGATGGCTTCTTAACAATTAGAGCTGCACAACCCTTAAATCGGGATTATCCTTTTGGAGAGTTCTCTGTTAACTATACAGCAAGTCTACCAACACTAGCCATCTCTCTGAGACTTCTACTGTAGGAAGCAGTGTAAATATCTCCCTTATTAAAAGGAAATATTTCATTAAACCCAGTCACCTTTTTTTAACTCCTTATTGGGAATATCATACTGAAGTGTATTGTTGTTGTTCCTTTTGATGTTTTATTACTGAAACTCTTACTTGTCTTTCCATTGAAAGCTGTTTTAGTGTTTTGGAGTTTTCGATCCATATGCTTAGGAAGTATTTCTCAGTTGGTAGTTCAGTAATGCATAGGTATATATTTTTAAAGCATGCTCTGAAACTTACGCTGCTTTTGTTTCTTAAATAAGTTTTTCTAAAATCAGTCCACACTTAATACTTGATTGCCTATCATCTAAGGTATTTTGTTGTTATTGCTGGCTTTTTTTTTTTTTTCTTTTTTTTTCCTTGAAGCACAATATATTCCAATACAGAGAGGATGTTGTATAGACTATTTTCTGGTAGATGTTATTTTCCTAGTAAAATACTGTCATCGTCACAAGTAGAGCTTCAGAATCTGTTGTTTTTTTCTTTTTAAATCTGTTTTTAGATCAGCAGGTCAGAAAGTACAAGACTGTTACTTCTATCAAATTTTTATGGACAAAAATGAGAAAGTGGGAGTCCCAACAATTCAGCAGTTACTAGAGTGGTCATTTATCAACAGCAACTTGAAGTTTGCAGAGGTTGGTGACAGCTGTTGCTTTGTTAGAAGTGATGATGCCTAGATACTTGCCCATTCAGCAGTGGGACAAAAGTAGGATTTGGGGTGAAAACAAAATGTGGGTATGTTGGAAATGGGAGTACCAGGTCAGCAGTACAGGTTGCCTACGTTACAAAAGTATTTTAAGGTTGACTTAATGACATGTATCCTTTGGCTGAACAGACCAAAGTAATTTAGGTAAAGAATTACTAAAAGAAAACTTCTTAGTTACTGACAGTAAGTTGTCTTAAGGACTCATATTTTGCGATACCTCTGTTTGTAAAAAAACTTTACAAAGGGCAGACTTTTTTCTCACCCTGCCGTGGATGGGGGAGTGTAGTCCAGTATATTGAATATCATACTTGAGCATGACTGGGACTTACAACATTTGACTGATTTAGATGCCACTTTCCTAGTTTTTTTTAGCTGTAGTTTTTCTCAAAGACTTAATTTTGGTTTCCTTACTGTCTTGTTAATTTTGAAGTGAATAGGCTGCAAGTTTAAATAACATGAATATGTTTATAGCATTAGAAGTATGTCTCTAAATTTAGATAATTATCTATCTCAAGCTCATTACGTTATATTCTGGTATTTTACCTAGGCACCTTCTTGCCTGATTATCCAAATGCCTCGGTTTGGAAAAGACTTCAAAATGTTCAACAAAATTTTTCCATCCTTGGAATTAAATATAACAGACTTACTTGAAGATAGTAAGTATACAACATTGCGTTGTGTAATAAAAGGGAGTTGTTGAGAATGACTTAACAGTGAAAGTAAGTACTCCTGGTAGTTCTGTTGTGGGTTTTGGGGTTTTTTTTTTGTTTGTTTGTTTTTATTCAGTATTTAACAAGGTAGTGCGAGATGCTCAGGCTGAGGAGAAAGGAAAGTTTACTGGCTAGAATGCTTGCTTTCTTCATGTCAAAAGCTGGAATTCAGAAGAATATATAGAATTATAATTTGGTTGATTTTGTTTATTTAATTCTTGAGTTTTGTACAACTAAACTTATTTCAAGACGTTGTTAAAATTGAGTTATTAGCAGCAAAACAATTCATTAATATGGCAGGTAGGAAATCTTAAAAGCTAAGTGTAGCACCCAGATTGGCTAACAGGTATTTACAATGTTGACTATGTTTCATTAGTCTTCATCAGTTTGTGCTGCTTGTTTCTAAGTTTTTTGTTCTCAGGTTATCAAACTAGAAGAAGAGAACCTGAGATTAGTATGTAAACCTGCAGCATGTAGTGATGGTGCATTTTTCAACTATAAATCTATCACTTTTTTGTGTAACCTAAGTTTCTGACATTTGTCATCCACGGAATTTTTCATTGCAGTACCTAAGAAAAGACACCCCGTTTTAAATCTTGAGATAAGAATTAATAAAACTGCTAAAAATTATTAGAAGAATAATCCATGAAACTGTCATGGCCTTTTCTTTCACTGTTATGGTCACGAGCTTATGCTATTTTTTTTTTTCCTGCTGTTGACAGACATAGGAGCTAAGCCACCTGTACCAATATGATGAGAGAGAATTAACTTGATTTAAAAGCCTGTTTTTACTTGTTCATGCAGTTGATAACACTTAATTTTTATCATCTTCTGCTTTGCAACTTACCACTCTAAACCTTTTTCTCTTATTCTACATTATGTCAAAGGGAGGATGTTAAATACAGTGGTACATTTCTACAGCAATCTGGTTTTAGCTTTTATAATGTAGTGTTTTTCTCCATTTAAAGTAGTAAACCTCCCTCCTTTCCATACCCCTCATCATAAAAAAACAAAAAAAACCCCAAACAACTAAACCAAAACAACAACAACAAAAAAAAAACCCCAAACCCCCACCAAACAAAAAAGCCTCCCCAAATTGGAGACTAATATCTTCTTTAAAAATGCAGCACCCAGGCAGTGCCGTATATGTGGAGGGCTTGCTATGTATGAGTGCAGAGAATGTTATGAAGATACTGATATTTCTGCTGGGAAAATCAAGCAGTTCTGCAAAACCTGCAATACACAAGTAAGTTGTTATCTTTGTTATTCTGTGTAGGTTTAACCCAAACGGTATGTGCTGTAATAATGGACAGAAAGGCGTAAGAGTGTAGTGAGACTTTCTTACCAGCACTAGTGTAACTGCGCCCACCAAGTAAAGTGTAGCCCTCCGTGACAAATGAGGAACTACACTTGACTCTGCAATGTACTCATCAACAGTTTCTTACTAAAAATATGGCAACTGCCAAAACCAGGACTGAATACAGTGGAGAAGTAGTAATTGTAGGCAGCTTGGAATCTGTTTCCTGTCGCCTGCTATAAATCCTAATTTTACATACATGCTACCTTGTTTGAATTGATAAATTCATGACATAGAAACGTTTAATTTTGAGAGCTGTTTGGTAACTTGCATGAAGCTGTTGTAGTCATGGCTTGTTTTCAAGTATGAACATAGTAGAAAATTGTTGCATTAAATCTGACCTCCCTTACATTTGAATTTTCTGGGCAATATTGAACTACACTGTTGGGGAACGACAGAAGAAATGTTTAGTCTACTATTGCTATTGCAGTTCCTTCTCTAATGCTATTAATCTTCAGCAGTGATGTTCTTTTTAGCTTTGTCTGCCACTGAAGAAAATAATCTTATGGGGTGTTTTTTTCTCTTCTGAAATATCACTTCAATTGTAGGTTCATCTTCATCCCAAGAGACAGAGTCATAAATTCAATCCATTGTCACTACCTAAAGATCTGCCAGACTGGGATTGGCGACACGGCTGCATCCCGTACCAGAAGATGGAGTTGTTTGCTGTTCTTTGCATAGAAACAAGCCACTATGTAGCTTTTGTTAAATACGGGAGGGATGACTCCGCCTGGCTTTTCTTTGACAGCATGGCAGATCGGGATGGTAGTTCTTTTATTTATTTTTATTGATTTTCTCTTAAGTTTTTACATGTATTACTAGTTTAAATTTCAGTGCCTATTTTTTAATGTTTTGGGGATATTAATGTTGTTTAATTTGAACTACTTGATGCTGGGACACTAATCTTGACCCACCCTTACCTCAGTGCATTGATTTCATAGCAGCCACTGACTTGCATAATCTGAATTTCAACTAGATTGGATGCCTTAGTAAGTAGATGGTACAGAAGTAACTGCAGAGGTCTTCTAGCAGGACTCCTTATACATTTTTCTATACTTTTGCAAGTTTGGCAGAGAGAATTCATTTTAAATAATCAGCTGCAGGAATGTGTTCTTTCAGTCTGTATTTAAGAGGATGTACACAATTATCAGATAGAATACAAATATTTTCATTGCTTTTGCTTAAATGACTTAGTGTAGATGCCTTTAGAATAAAAGAAATAGTTACACATTACGACCCCTATGCCGTTCCTTTGAATCTCTTTAGAGTTATCAGTGGAAAGCTGTTACCCTGTAATAATACAAATGTCAGTAAAGCAAGTGTTCCTAGATACTGCTGCATTAAATAGTGTTCAGATAAGGACTCTGTTCAGTTCTGGTGCCTGAGAAAAACAGTAATAGACGCAAGTGTCAGACTCATCGTAACAGTTCTTTGCATGAAGAATTCTTGAACCCCTCTGTTACAGTGTGATTTGGGGGGCCGGGGGAGAAGAATCTTGCCTCCTGTTGAAAGTGAAACTGCTGCAGGATTAAAGTCTCTTTATTATAACAACCAGAAGGCAATCAAGCTTTGTTTCAGAGTGCTTGAAATGTGTGCGACTGAAGTCTGTAAAGAACCACTTTATTTTGGGAATATAGGTTACATGAGATCCTTACTGGATGTATCTCCCACTGATCTTACTTTTTTTTTTTTGTATCACAAATATTTTTCTTCAGCTGGTGCTATAAGCTACAAATGTCTGCTGGGGAGCAGTGTCATGGATGTCCATACTTGTGTTACTTGAATTTTCTCATTTTTACATGGAAAATGGCCAGGAGCAAACTCTGCCTTAGTCTTGCAAGGCAGGTACAGACACTTGTGGTTTAGAAATTCATCAACTGTTACCAGTTGTCATGTTACTAAAAAAATTCAGTAGCATTTGAGGTGGAGTATGTATTCAGGCCACTCTCCGACAGTCATACAGAATCTTTAGTGTTAACAAAACCCTACAGTTCTTGTTCTGGTGGGGTTTTTGTGTGGTGTTTGTGTGGGTATTTGTTTGTTAGTAACACTACAAGATACTCTGACACCAGTTGTGATTTTTCTTGAACAGTACACTTTTCACGTAGGTCTACCCTGCAGTAGTCCAGAATGGCATACTTAGGGTTTTTTTAGAAGGCATTTTCAAGAACTGGTGATGCTGTCATAATTAAAGTACATTATAAAGAGTAAATATATGTAGATGCTATCCTAATCTGTTTCTCTCTCTTTCCTTATGGTTAAAAGGAGGTCAGAATGGCTTTAACATTCCACAAGTTACCCCATGTCCAGAAGTTGGTGAATACCTGAAGATGTCTCTAGAAGAATTACACTCACTGGATTCCAGAAAAATTCAAGGTTGTGCACGAAGACTACTTTGTGACGCTTACATGTGCATGTATCAAAGTCCAACAATGAGTTTATACAAATGAACAATGTCCTCTGGAAAGCTGAAGAAAAAGTATAGAGTTACCTACTATTGCATTTGCTGCATTTTTTTGGTTAGTTTTAATGCAACCGTTGCTGGCAATGGATGCGATGACAAGTAAGAAGTTGACTCAGAGCAAAAGGATTGCTGTTCCAAAAACTACACGGGGAGTTCTGTAATTGAAATATTTAAGCATTTTGCACTCTGGGAAGTGTGCTTGTGTGTGTTTGTTTTATAAACAAAGTCTAAGTGATGTTACTAAAACTTAAAGCTTTAAGTGCATTGATTATACACAGGCTTTTTTGAAATGTTAAAGGTGGAATTATATCAGGAGAAACCCCCTTAGTCCATTGGGAGTGTAAAGATACACAGTGTTCTTGCTCAGTGCATTTCTATGGACCAAGGATGGTGATTCTCTTGTGTTTCTCTACCCTCCACACCCACCACTTCTCCCCACCCTTGATCTTTTTAGCACCATAGATTCTCTCTCTTGAAGAGAGAGTAACTTCAGTTTCAGTAAGATAAATTTTAGACTGTTCATGGCATATTAATTCTGTTCTGTGTACTACAGTCTTTTCAGTTCACACATTTGTATCTTCAAAACTTAACATTCATTTAAAGATCTGAATTCCTATCTTGTGAAAATCAAGCACACAGATTTGCTATCTGTTAACTTGTGATTTTTGGATGGGAAAAAGAGGAGAAGAGGGTGTTAAGGGGAGGCATGATTGCTGAAATAGAAAATTAGCAATGAAAGTTAACAGATGTCTTTTTCTAAGTGTCTATTTTTAAAGACACAAAGCAGTCTGGAACAGAACAGCAACTATATACAAATGATTGGAGGACAAAATAAAATAGTGGATTGCCTCAGGGAACGTTACTGAAGTGGATTCTACTCCTTGGTAAAACAAACCTGACTTTTCTACAGTACATTAAGCTACTACCTGGGAATATGTTATACATCTGACTCTTCATTTCAGGATTACTAATGGATATTAAAAATCTCTTCCCGGAAAGGTGAAACTATAAATAAAAGTAGATCAGTTTTACTGTATACCAAGTACCTAATGAAAACTAACTTGAAAAGCTGCAAAACCTGTGTTGATGTAAAATACTATACTTTGAAGTCTATTGGTTCCTGTTTGCAATGAAATACTGTTGTTTTAGTTGCTTTTTAGCTACTTCTGTCTACACTGACTAGCAAACATGCGACTATATAGATACAGTAAAATCTGGTTGTACAAATTGCATATATATGAGCTGTACATTTTCAACTCTAAGATGTTTTGTATGGAAAACCTCCTTTTTGGGTATCAAGTCTATAGAAGGAGAGGTCACAAAATGTGACAGGGGAAAAGCCACTTTGAAGAAGCCACTGTTTTAAAGACAATGGAGACTGATCCCATATGGTAGAAAATGTAGTTACTTTATTCTTTTTGGAAAACCTAAAATCTTTCTTTGGGACACACTCTACCACAGAACAGTAGTAGAGAGAGATTTGAAAATTATGCTTGAAGGACTAATCTGTTTAAAGCAAGGTCTGCTGAGAGAGTTGATCTGTTCCATTAGCTGCTGTATGAAGTGTGCTCTAATTTTTCCCTCTCGAGAGCCAGAAAGTTACTAAAAGCATCACTGTTAGCCTCTAATAGTCTCCTGGCTTCCATGTTCCCTTGCCTTATTTATCTAGTCTGCGGTCCTTGGCAAAACTGTTTCTTTAGTTTCAGCGCTACTGCGAGCTCTTGAATTTCTTCTCTCCTGAAAAATTTCAGTGAGGCTTTAGGTGATGGATTCTATAACCATCTGTCACTGGATGGGTTATTGTCCGTTGGCTCTTCCTTGGCTACATACTATCCTGCTCTGGAACAGCAGCTGCAGATGCTCAGATGTGTCGACAAAGATGCCATAGGAGCATCTTGTAGGAACTGCAAGGTAAAAAGACCAGTTGTAGGTCTTGGCTAGGCAGCTTGTATTTATTAAAATGGGCTTCGGAACACCGACATAATCTGAGCAGAAGGTATGGTAACCCACCCTTGGCTGCATATTGAAGAGGAAGTCCAGCCACAGCCTCCAGGTACCTCAAGGGATGTTTTTAAAAAGAGCTCTTTGCAAAGCAAAAGCAAGAGGGGGCTTGCAAAAAAAAAAAAAAAAAAAAAAAACAACAGGCTCTCAACTTGATCTCTACAAAGTTTGATACCTTGTTTGATACCTTCATTCCCTTAGCCCTATCGTGACTCTTAACCTGAAAGTAGTTGCAAGCTGTGCCCCCTTCTGAACAAAGAGCAAACATAAAGGCTTTACAAAATTAACAAGCACAAAGTTATGTACCAATGAGACCAAGCTGAATGTCTGGAGTCTTTCTCTTCCCTAGCCCTGGATTTATTTTCTAGCTTTCCCAACACGTTAACTTTCGTATGTCTTCTACTCGTGTCATCTTTCCCCCACCCTTCATATATACTACTTATAGTTAGTTACCTTACCTCTTCCTGCCTGGACTGAGAGAACAGCCGTGGAACTGCTATGGTGAGAGGGGAGACTTGGACTTGGCAACCATACTAAAGTTTTCTACATGAATAATCTTGTAGCAAATATCCACTCTTTTTTCAAAACTGCAAATATCGAAGAATCCCATTTTTTCAGGATGCATATTTTATTAGCAGAAGTGAATAAAAATAGAGGGCTGTAAATGAACTGCTTGGCTTCTTGCTTCCAATCTTCTGGCTTTTGACTGGAAATGGAAAAGTGTGAACTCTTACTCTGGTACACGTAGAGAACATACAGAAAAAACTGAGGGAGTTTAAATGCGTTATTGTGCACGCTTCTCGGTGACAAATACTGTGTTTTGAAATGCAGGCAGTACTTTACAGCCCGCATTTTGTACTACTTTATATTACTGCAAAACAGTAAATAGTTTTGCAAACAGTATGTGATTACATGGTTAGTTTATTGCTTATCAGTTAAGAGGACAGACGTATCTTCTATAGTATAAAAAAAAAGTGTTGGTTTTGACAATTGGTCTTCTTTTAATCCAAAAAGTATTGCTTTATGGTGTATACTGCATTGGATTGGAGATAATCTAGCAATGTAAATGAAGTGTTATGGAAACTAACACCATTTTTATTTCCTTTCTCAGAAAGGAGTATACAGACAGAAAAGTGATTTCACTGTGAAAAGAAAATTGTAAAGTAACTTCTATACAAGGGTAAGAAACTGTTCAGCATGTGTTCTAGGGGAATTGAATAAGCTATTTTGTAGAAACAGCCCGCATTTTAAAGCATCTACTGCTGTTAAGTATAACGCCCAAAGATTCCACTGACAAAGCATCCAACTTTTACATGTTTAATGCATTTGGGAACCTCCCAGTCAGTTGTCTCCTTTTTTAATACAGTGAATGAGCCCATAAATTAATAGCACTTAGATGATTGCTTCATGGTTTGGCTCTTAAGTATTGCTATCAATGGCCTTAACTGGTGAGTGGGAAAACTCGGAGAAAATATGGTGACAGCCTGTAAAGACATAGTTTCATAATACCTAAACTTTGATAACTGGGGAGAAAAACTGCCCCTACTCTGCTAATCATTTTTAGAAATAGGGGCTCAAATCAGTAGAAAATTGAACAAATCACTGCGCCACTAAATACTTGCTTATTTTGAACATAGAGGGTAAAGAGAAAAGGTATTAAAGGTGATGCCTTACACGTTACTTAAAAAAAAACCCAAAACCCACAACCAAACCCACAGTAAGCTACATCAGAATGTTTCTCTTTTGGTGTGGGAGATAATTGGAGGAAAAAAATAGAAAAATATGAATGTTCAGTAAAGGTGTTTCTAATATCTGTGATACTGATTCTGTGCTCTTGAAAAACGTAGTACTGTGTTTTACTAAACAGCCTGTGAAATTTCCATTTTAAGCAAGTCTTAGGTGTAACAGGAATTACTCATAATCATAAATGGTTCATTTCAATGCACTTATTTTTCTTGTGCACTTTATACGCCACTGAATCGATGAACTTGGTCACCACGATCCCTAACGATAGCCTGTTCAGTACAATCCTAAGGCACAACATGCTGCAACCTGGAATTCTATGGTTTCAGAACTGAGTTGGTGTAAAAAACAGCTTGAAAGCTTTGTGTATTTTTACCACTGTAACAAAGCATGTTTTTCTCTGTTCTTGATGTTTTGCTAAATAAACATCCCATGTTTTGTGCAGAAATAGTCTCTTAAACTTACAAAGGCTGTCTCCAAGAATGAGTTAGGGAAACAAACCATTGTATCAGGATGCCCTCAACTAGCCTTAACTTCCCCCCGCCCCATGGTAGAGCGGAATTAGCTGCTGCTGGAAAGGAATGTACCATGCGCTCTTTCTGTATTAATATTAATTAAAAATATTATTCTTACGGCTCTATTCATTTCTTTGGGAGCTTGGAGTTTTGGGAGTGTCACAAACAATAATGAATATGGTGTTGAACTAGCTTGTTTTGTGTACTTACAGAAGGATTTCTTTTTATACATTTTTGATAGTCTGTCTGAATTTCAGCATTTCCAGGAAACTTAGGAATTGCTGTACTGTATCAAATCAGGTCTAAGTATACTACTTGTGTCTTATCAGTTAGTACCCGATACTATAATGGAAAACCAATGAAAAGCTGCTATAGCTAACTGTCGTTGCCTGTGGGGAAAAATTAATTTATTTTTAAATGCTTAGTACACTACCTTACTGACACTAGATGATCAGCTCCTTCTGGGATCATGCTGTAGCTTCAGTGCTGCTTCCATAGCTACCATTTAGAAGATCTGCACACCAAGTTGGCATGCATTCTGTCTAGAAAAATACTGCTATCCAGCATTTCTAGATGTATTTTTTTTTAATTTCCCGAGTATTGTTATAATATTATTAATAACAATGAAAAGGTCCTACCCAAGCCTTTCTCCC